GATTCAGACCTTGATCAACTAACAAGAATATTTGAAACTTTGGGCACACCAACTGAGGAACAGTGGCCTGTAAGCCTTCATACATGTTCTTTGAAATTTAGTTAGGATTCTTCATGTTGATGTCATGTAGATATTACTTAAAGAACTGTATTCCTTGTCTTAATTTACTAGTAATGTATACTCTGAAAAATTTATATCAGATAGAAAGTTAAAATTGTGGGATACTGTCCAGCCTCCTTTGTACATGTTGCCCTTTCTCCATCCCAGTAATTCCCATCCCAGGGTTAATCACTGTCAGTTTGGTGGAAAGTCTTGCTAAGAGGATACATATACAAGCACATAAACATAGAGTTGCATTTTCTGTCTTTTCTTAATAAAAATGGGATCATACCATATAATTGTTATGCAACCAAATTGCTCTTTTTACCTATTTATTACTGACCTTTTTCTTTTTAACAGCTGCATAATTCATTTGATGGGTATTTCATGTTTATCAGCATCTTGGTGGATTTAGGGTGTATTTATAGAATTTTCACCAACAGTTAAGATGTCTCAGTACCATGAATATTTTTAACCCATTACATTGCCTACAAAAAAGAAAACTTAAATCTTGGGTAAAATTTACACCAATTTAAGTTGCTAAATTTTATATATTATAGTTCAGTAAGATAATCTCACTTGTTTATTCTTAAAAATTTTATTTATTTGAGAAAAAGCACGAGGAAGGGGGTAGGGGGTCGGGACAGAGAGAGAGGGAGAAGCAGACTCCCCACTGAGCAGGGAGCCTGATGCAGGACTCCATCCCAGGACCCTGAGATCATGACCTGAGCCAATGGCAGATACTTAACTGACTGAGCCACTCAGGCACCCCTCACTTGTTTATTCTTAAATTAAAATTGTAAACCTTTAGATTTTCCTAACTCTATTACAGCCCATCTCCTGAGAATAAATACTAGAAAAGAGAAATTTTAATCAGACTCTACCTTCTGATTGAAACTGTGTAAAATTTTTTTCAAGCTCTGAATAGCTATAGGACTCTCAGCAGGGGTTAGAGGAACCAGCTCAACCTTTCCATAGTGCCAAAATGTGGCCAGTCAAGGTTTTGAAGTAAGTCATAGCAGCGTTCATAGCACCAGGTCTTCTCCACAAGATTATGAACAAACTGGGCCATAGTTCCAGGATGGAAAGTCCAGTGCCCCGGATGGCCACTGAATCTGACCAAATGATTTCTGACAATGGTGCAAAGCAATTCGATGGAAATCATTACATTCTCCATTTGACAGTTTTAGTTCTTCATTTCAGAACTATATGCCTTTCAGTCCTTAAGTTTGAATTATAAATATTTTTACAGGACATGTGTAGTCTTCCAGATTTCGTGACATTTAAGAGTTTTCCTGGAATCCCGTTACAACACATCTTCATTGCAGCAGGAGATGACTTGCTAGATCTCATACAAGGCTTATTCTTATTTAACCCATGTACTCGAATTACAGCGACACAGGTATTTTAGCATATCTTTCTTATATTAGGAAATATGAGGATAATCTTAATTCTGGCATAGATAAAATAAAAGTAGAATTTCTTAAGGTTTTCTAACATTCTTTAAGTACTGTAAAGATGTGTTTTTGTTTTAAGGAATAACAAATTTTATCTTGTCCCCAGGCTACAAGCTATTCAGTCTGATATTAAATTACATCAAGCACACATAACAGGAGAATTTACTTTTGTTAAGTAACATATAAATACATATTTATTTCATAGTTAATTGGTTTTCAAGTAGTTTACCTAGAGAAGAAAAAATAAGAAGGGTTCTGTACTTGTTAAGATAATGATTATTTCAATTAGGTTTGTGCTAGCCTAATGCCAAAAGTGTTTTGTTTTTTTTCCCCATGAAATACAGTCCCAGTATGCATGCTGATCATTGTCATAGTCAGAAAGTGATAATGGGGAAGAAAATAATATAGTTCTTCCTTTCTTTTTTAAAGATTTTATTTTTAAGTAATCTCTACACCCTACGTGGGGCTCGAACTCAAAATCTCGAGATCAAGAGCTGCGTGCTCTTCTGACTGAATGAGCCAGGCACCCCAAAAATCATACAGTTTTTTTTGTTTTGTTTTTCATTTTAAGGTTTTATTTATTTATTTGACAGAGAGAGCACAAGCAGGCAGAGCGGTGGACAGAGGGAGAGGGAGAAGCAGGCTCCCTGCCGAGCAGAGAGCCCAACATGCAGCCTGATCCCAGGACCCCGGGATCTTGACCTGAGCTGAAGGCAGACGCTCAACCAACTGAGCAACCCAGGCGCCCCGTATAGTTCTTAATACAACTTATGCTTACAAGAGATTGAAAGATACTCTGAATAGAACAAACACTGATACCCTTGTTTAAGGGAAGTAAGAATCAAACTCAAAAAAAATTAGGAAGACCAAGAATATGTGGTCTTATAAAAGAAGGGAGAAATGTTAGCAAACAAAAAAATAAAAGCCCTGTGGATTGGGGGGCAAAATCCAATTTCTTTGTTTTAAAAACAAGCACAAAACAAAAAAGGATAGTGTCACAAACACTTAAAATTGGGGCAGGGAAATGCAGGAATGCATCACAGTACAATGATTTGGCTTCATAAAGTAAGACTCTGATTAAAATGAAATGTCACAAGTCTTCATATCTAACAAATAATGTACAATATACCAAGGATACAAAGTGGATTTTTTTTCACTTAAGTTTATTACAGACTACCAAATCATTGTTTAATGCATTTATTTCTATAGGCCGTCTCTTTTTGGCAGTACATGATGCTACATTCATACATACATGCTAGATATTTTACCATTAGAGTACCTCATTGTTACCTTTCCACCCATACACATATATTTATTACCTCCATCATAAGAAACTTGAGACTAGGTCAGATTATCTAGAAACTTGTTTTCATTAATAGTAAAACTCAAAATTTACAGAAAAATACTAGTTGTAACAACTTATGTGGGTTGTATTTTGATAGAATACATTTTTTAAAATGAGTTCTGGCTTTGTCAAATAAATGAAATCTTTAACGTAGTGTCTTTTTCTTATGGTAATAGAATTATCAGCTGATCTTAAGCTTTTATATATCTATTTGTAGTTATTTGCTCATCTAAATTCTTGAAATTAATTTCGTTTTGGAAGTGGGATATTCACATAGTGTTTTTAATATTCCCAACAATTCTGGAGGTTAGATTTTTTTTTTTTTTTTTTTTTTTTTTTTTGGACAGAGAGAGACCTAGTAAGAGCGGGAACACAAGCAGGGGGAGTGGGAGAGGGAGAAGCAGGTTTCCAGCCAAGCAGGGAGCCCGATGTGGGGCTCCATCCCAGGACCCTGGGATCATGACCCGAGCCGAAGGGAGATGCTTAACGACTGAACCACCCAGGCACCCCTGGAGGTTAGATTTTCTTAAACACAGTTGAGATATTCACTTAAAACCCTACTTTCCTTGGTATCTCTCCTTTTTCAAGGCATTGAAAACTAAATATTTCAGTAATCGGCCAGGGCCAACACCTGGATGTCAGCTGCCAAGACCAAACTGTCCATTGGAAACTCTAAAGGAGCAGTCAAATCCAGCTGTAGCAACAAAACGGAAGAGAACACAGGCCTTGGAACAAGGTAAAACTTTCATTTTCATAAGATATGAAATGAATTCAGAAAACTCCAAGTAGGTAATATATAGCTCGTGACCGAGGGGCAGCTAAGAAATGTAGATTGTGAGCTGTTTCATTAAGTGTGGTAGAGAATGTTATATTTTAGCATATTTGTTTTCATTGAAAATAATTAAATCAAGCTTTTTAAAAGGCTATGGGCACTTTTGAGTATACCTCAGAGTTGCAAGAACTTACCAATATGTACCTTATTTTCTTCATAAATTTTTATTGGTATACTGTATGCTTAATGTTAAATAAGTCTTATTAGCAAATCAAAGCAAGTAAAATGAATGTAGTTGGAATGTAGTGACTGGTTAGAATTGCTGTAAGATTAAATGTGAACAACCTCATTTTTTTTTCACCTAGGAGGATTACCCAAGAAGCTAATTTTTTAGTTACAGAGATCACTGGACAGTATTTTACTACTGAAGGAAATAGTCAAGGCAAATAATGGAGAAGTAGTAAATGATGTAGAAGGAATTTGTAAATATTCCACACATGTAAAATATGTAAAACTGGATTATTTTTATTAAATGTATTTTAAAACAAACTTAATTCTGATTTTTTTGATGAGAGTACAAAAGTAAGATTAAGTTCAATTCTCTGAAATGTAGAATTGAAAATGCATTAAGGAAACCTTAATAAAAATAATCATCAGTTACTTTGGTGATCTGGCCCACGTAGCAGGGGTAGTATTCAAAAATTGAAGCAGTAGTAGAAATGTAGCATATACCTCCTACCTGGAGTTAACATATGTTAATATACTAAATAGGAAAAAAAGAAGAAAAAATTACAAATGAAATTGAGGTCCCTTTAATATGTCATCCATTCTTTTCCTTTTCACCTTCCTGAAAGGAGTGACTCTCAGGAAATGAGTGTGTCCTTCCATGATTTTATACTGCTATTTTATAAAAATACATGTAATAATACACTATTGTTTTGGGTCTCAAAATTTTATGAGTGATAGGCTGTACATCTCAATTTTTTTTACTCAAAACTTTAATTCCTTCCGTGTTAATACATATAAATCTAGTTTAATATCCATTTAATATATAAAATATATATTATGTATATAACACTACATATTCATGGTTAGACTGTTATTTTTCTTGTGCTCTATAAAAATTACCATAAATATAGCAACTTAAAGTAACACAAATTTTCTAGCTCACAGTTCTGTAAACCACATGTCTGACCTTGCCCAACTGTGTTTTTTGCATAGGTCAAAATCAAGATGTCAGTTGATCTGAGTTTCTTGGGAAGAATGGGCTTCCAAACTTATTCATTTCATGTATTTTAATGCACGTGCTTCCTGTCCTGGTAGCTGTCAGCCAGAGGCCTTTCCTAGCTTCTTAAGGCAGTCCACATGCCTTGTCACATGGTATTCTCCATCTATAAGCCAACAAGTATGCTTAGGATCTATTTGGTTTCTTTGCTACCAAGAGAGAAAACTCTTTCTTTAAAAAGACAAAATAGACTGCATCAAGATTTAAAACTTGTATCAAAGGAGTGGATAAGCAGAGTGAAAAGATGCAAATCATGTATCTGACAATATAGCTCAACAATAAAAAAATTATATTAAAAAATGGGCAAAGGACTTGAATAGACATTTCACCAAAGATGATGTAGAAATGGCCAATAAGCCCATGAAAAGATGCTCAACATCACTAATCATTAGGGAAATGCAAGTCAAAACCACAATGAGATATAACTTCATACCAGTTAGGATCTTCACTATCCAAAAAAAAAAAATCCCAGAAAATAAGTGTTGATGAGGATGTGGAGAAATTGGGACCCTTGTGCATTACTGGTTGGAATGTAAAATGGTGTCGCTGCTGTGGAAAACTGTGGCCTTTCCTTAAAAATTTTTAAAGAGCATTTTCATATGATCTAGCAGTTTCACTTCTTAGTATATCCTCCAAGATTGAATGCAGGATCTCAGATATACACAGTCCCATCAACACTGTATGAAAGGATCTGTTTCACCTCATCATTTCTAGTACTCACATAATCTTTGTGGTCTTTGCTAATTTGGTATCTCATTCTAATTTACATTTTTAAAATTTCTACTGTGGTTGAATAGTTCCTCACATTTGCTAACCATATATAATCCCTCTTGTGAACTGTTGATTTAGATTCTTTTTCAGTTATCGCTTCTCGGCCTTTTGGCTAAGATCAAGTGTAGATTCTTTTTCAGTTAGTGTTCCAAATTTTATCAATTTTTATGAATTTGCATTTTATATATATACACATGTATTATACACACACACATTAAAAAAGAACCTTTGATTTTTTCTTTTTTTTACCCTTCCAGGTTTGTTATTGTTGAACATTACCAAATCTTTCCTTTTCTTACATTTCATATTAAATCATTACACGTATTAAATCATTACATGTATTAAATCTGTGTGTGGTCTTTATCCTGTTCCATTGACTTACTGGTACCACATTGTTTTAAATAATGTAGCTTTATACTACTGTCAGGACAATGCATTTTTAATATCTAGTAACAGTAGTTCCTCATCATTACTCCTTTTTGCAAAATTTATTTGCCAAGTTTTCATCTTTTATTTTTATTAATTCCAACTAAATGGTGTTGCTTTAACACAATAGTTTATACTTTGTTACCTCATTTTACCCTGTTGTTACCTCATCTATTTAAGTAGTATTTAACGTAGCTAAGCCATGTATGTATCTTTTTTACTAGACATCATAACTAGATAAAAAGTTTTATTAAAATTTCTGATAATGTAATACAGTTCCTTTGATATAACTGTGATGTTAATATAGCAACATTCCAAGAAGGTATTAAATATCTTTATTATGTAACATTTATAGAAAGAAAGAAAAAATTAAATGGCTTAAAATTCAGCATCAAAACCAAGAAGTTAAATCAGAATGGTGTGAGTGCTAGAATTATGTGTAGGTCTGGCTACAAAGTGTCACCACACCAACAAAGAAGCTATAAAGGTAACAATATTTTGAATACACTTCTGCCAAAATAACTTTTTAATTGAAGTTAAGGAAATTATTAAACTTTCTGTGGCAAATGAAAAATCCTGAAAAGTACAATAAAACTATATGTAATCTAAAAAGTAACATTCAGTCACTCCTAGGCATTGTTACTTCTTAGAGCATTAATTTATATTGTTACTTAAGCCAGTCAAAGATCCCTTTAGTCAATCTAAGTAGTTAAATAACTGTTTTTCTCAAAAATCAATTTTTTGTTGTTTTTAAGATGTTGGCAAACACTGAAAATTTCATAAGGTATAGTAATGTAATTTATAAAGTATGTCAACATAATACTAATAAATTTCTTGTAGAAAAAATGTTTGAGTACTTAAGCTGCTTTCTAAAACTTAGAAAGACCCAGAAAATATACAACTTCTGATGATGTAGCAACATTTAAGTCCTTTTTTAAAGTCTCTTGATAGAAACAGGTCTTGGTTCTGATTTCAACTGGTTTATTTTCAAAACATGATATCTGATGGCAAAGAACAGGATCTTTTGAGAGTTCTTGTGCAGTTTTGATCTCTGTGAAGGTGTTGGATTGAACAGATGCAGCCTGGAGAATTTAAAATTTGAACACTTGAATATACAGGATCATGCAGTTCAGGGAATTCTGAAGATTTCCCCCAGAGGTTTTTTAATGGAAAATTGTCTTTCACGGGACTTTTTTCTTTATTTTCATTTGAGGTGGTGTCTTTCTCTTCCAGTGCCCGAGCAAGCATGTAACTAACTTTTCTTTGATGAGCCAGAGCTTCTTCTTTATCATTCAACTGCATATACAAAAATTAAAATTATATCAGTTATGGGTATCTGGGTGGCTCAGTCATTTAAGCATCTGAGTCTTGGTTTCAGCTTGGGTCATGATCTCAGGGTCATGAGATCAGGCCGAGCTCCACGTTCAGTGCTCATCCCGCTCATTGGGGAGTCTGCTAGAGATTCTCTCTCCCTCTGCCCCTCCCCCAACCTGTACGTGCTCTCTAAAATACATAAATCTTTTTTAAAAAAAGATTATGCCAGTCAATAAATCGCAGAATATAGAGCTATAGTCAGAAGTTTTCTCAAAATGTTCTGTCTTCAGTCTGTCAAGTCAGTCAAGGTAAATAATTGTTTACTGATTCCAAATAATACGGTACACATTACTGAGGCTTTTTTTTTTTTTAAAGGAAGAACAGAAAGCAGCATTCCTTCTGCTGAAATTTTTATAGATCATCTGAAGAAAGAGGGGAAAAACATATACATGGGGTGTGTGTGTGTATATGTGTATATAATATTAACATGTACTTAACTCTGCAGGAGAATGTTGAAGTTATTTGTGAAATTGTTTTTATATATTTATATGAGAATAACTTGAACACTTCTATAGATAGGTATGTTCATATAGCATGGGTCTTTTAGTTTAGTCATATATGAAATGGGGATAATAGGACTGATTTTCAGGGTTGTAGTGATGATTAAAGGATATACTGTGTGAGAAAGTTGCCTTGTACAACTTAAAAATTCCTGAATGGCATGGATTGTATGCATACGTGCAGATGACAGAGGTATCTGCAGTTAATTACAGGGGAGCCCCCTCTTTTCAGAAGTGAAGCTTTAAACTTGTACAGGAAGAACATGGATGGGAGAAGTGGGAAGAGCATGCAGGGAATTTAAGGAGATGAAGATCAAAACTGGAGGATGGTACCTCAGCTGGGAAAAGGGCATAAAAGGCAAGTATAGACTGCTAAAGAATTAAATTTAAAAAAAAAAGTTGAATTAATAGGAAGCAGAAAGATTAACTTAACCACAACCTCTAACAAAAGGAAAGCAAAGATACTAACCAACTCTGTTAGCATCTTAAAGACCTCCTGAGGGTTATTCTGGTCTTCGGGCTTCTTAGAACTGTTTTCTGATGGGAGCATCCCCAGCAGTTTCTGCCTTAAGGTTTTCTTACTTCCTTGTGAAGGTAATCCTAAAATTCAACATGCAAATCCAACTGAGACATAAAAACACACTCACTAATGTAGTTCCAGGAATAGAGGTAAGTATGAACCAGGGATAATTCATTTGTAAATCAGCCAGGAGGTGGTTCTCTTCAGGATACCTCTAGTGAGTCAGGCATCATAGTGTGTACTGGGAGGAGAACACAGACTTTATTTTTTTTAAGATTTTATTTATTTATTTATTTGAGAGCGAGCGAGAGAGAAACAGCGTGAGAGGGGAGAGGGTCAGAGGGAGAAGCAGGCTCCCCGCTGAGCCGGGAGCCCGATGTGGGGGCTCCATCCCAGGACTCCAGGATCATGACCTGAGCCAAAGGCAGTTGCTCAACCAACTGAGCCACCCAGGCACCCCAGAACACAAACTTTAGAGCCAGGATGGCAAACGGAGGTTGAGAGGGCCACAGTGTAAGACCCAGAGCAATGCCCTGCCTGCCGCTGTATCTCATCGTACAGCTGCTCCTAGGGACAGCATGCAGCCCATATTATCAGCAGCTTTCCAAAGGAGGCAGCAATCCAGTTTTGTATGTGAAATCTCCCAATGTTGAATGTCAGCCACTTACCCACCCCTGTTATTTGAGAACACTGTGCACACCCAACAAAACCTGGCCTCTGAACCATGTAAATTGTTTTAGAGCAGAAAGACCTGGACTTGAATCCTCATTTAACCACTTACTAAATGACCTTGGACAAGGTCTCTGAGCTTTGTTTCCTCACCTCTACAATAATAATAGTACCTATGCCTCAGGATTGCTGTGCCATTAAATAATAGAGCAGGGGGGATGCTGGGAGAAGGGATTGGGCAGTTAGTGTTTAATGGGTAAAGTTTCCGTTTGGGAAGATGAAAAGAAAAAGTTGTAGAGATGAATGGATGTGATGGTTACAAAACAATGTGAATATAATATTTAAAAATGGTTAAAATGGTAAATTTTATGTATATATTTTATCACAATTAAAAAATAACATAGCACAGTTGTGAAAACTAGCCCAGGTATGGACATAATGTTTAAGAGTCCACATCCTGAAATGTGTACACTGAGGATGTTCTTCAGAGAAAGAATGCAGTTTTATAGCAGAAGGTATAAAAATTGTGGATTTATACAAAGAGAACATCAAGAATGCCTTCGGAATGCTCTGTAAACGGTCTAATGGAAAACTGAGAACAGATAAGAGACATTTCCCTTTATACTCAATCCTCATAAACTGCAGTGACAAGCTCACTCATGACTTCTTCCTCCAGCAACTGTGGCAAAAGGAGAAAGGCCAGACAAGATGATGTGCTCATCAGCTGTGATGAGTGGATGGATGTCTATTTGCAGTCTAAAAAAAAAGAAATATGCTTATAACCTATCTCTCAGAACTCGTCTAAGTTGCATATCAATGACAAAAGTTGATGTCTTCTTAACGTGTTAACCACATAAAAGAAAATGACCTGTGACAGTCATCCTGTACCTCTTTAGATTATTGAAATACATGAATAAAATCAGTCTCGTCACTGAAAAACTGACAAAGAGCTACTGACACTTGTATGGACTTGTAAAGGCCTTTCCGAGAGGAATCAGTTATTTTACTGCTTCCACCAGTCTCTTCAGGTCTTAATGGAAAACAGATCAGGAGCTATTCCTACCAAATCATATTTTTTATGGAAAAGTTCTTGAGGTTCCTTATTAGCTAAGAAAGGCAGAAGTTCTGGAATATGCACCTGGGTGGCTCAGATGGTTTGGGCGTCTGCCTTCGGCTCAGGTCATGATCCTGGAGTCTGGGATCGAGTCCCGCATTGGGCTCCCTGGTCCTTGGGAGCCTACTTCTCCCTCTGCTTCTCTCTCTCTCTCATGAATAAATAAATAAAATCTTTAAAAAAAAAATGAATACATACTCAAGTGCTGAATGTATATGAATCTACCTCTTAGGAAAAACCCAGCCTTTTCTACCTACCACTACCCTTGTGGCCTACTTCCATGCACACTTGGGTCTACTATGCCAGGTGAAAGAATCTGGCTGCTTTCCTAAGATTAACCAGGACTTTCCCTTTTCTTTCTCCCCTAACTTTTTTCCTTACCTTCCGTCAAAACAAGCAGTTAAGATCAGATTTCCAAAGGGATTTGCCTTTAGTTTATGTCACAGAACACCAAGGCTATCCTCAAAGACAGTATCTTTGAAAACTGAGCAGTCCAGCTCCTATCAGGGGACTAATTTAGAAGAGGTGCCTGAAGATCACCTACACATTTGTTGTCCTTGATAGATACTCTATAAAGATTTTCCATCAATTCCTAAAAGCCTAAGTATATGGACTGTGCTTATTTCCTTGGCAGAATCACCTACCTTGAGCTGGACATTAAGGTTATACCTTCAGCTTTTACCAAGGGATTATTATAAGTAATAGCCATATAAATACTGATTTGTATTTATCATAAATGATAGTTAAGGACTTTGACATTATATTAGCCAGCTCAGTGATTTCTTTTATAAATCTCATGTCCGAAAACTTTTTAAAAATTAATTTCAGGACAGTGTGGAATGCCTCTTTAAGAATGAATGTTGAGAAATACGTTTGCCTGTGTTGCCCTGACTTCTCCCAGATGAAAAGTCTAAATATGTAACTCTTATAATCTGGTTCTGTCTACTTTCATACTTCTTGTTTACTGCTTCTATTTTTATTATCCCTGTAAGCTTAGCACTTTTTACCATTTCAGCAAAGGGACAGGTAAAGTTTAGTTAATGAAGCTAAAATTTCACAACACGTAACCTGTATGCTATTAGGAATATGTACTATTGAAAAAATATATTTAAAACAAAATAGGTATCTATTATTAAAAGTTTAATTTTTAATATAAGATTCTTATTAACCCAAATTCATCTGAGAATGAGAGATACTGGAATTAGGATTATGGATTTTGGTATACTAAAAAATATTTAGAAATATAGTCATCTCAGAATTTTAATATTAAAACATTTAAACTTATAAACTTCACTGTAATCTTTTTTTTTTTTTTAAAGATTTTATTTATTTATTTGAGAGAGAATGAGAGAGAGAGAGCACATGAGAGGGGGGAGGGTCAGAAGGCAAAGCAGACTCCCTGCTGAGCAGGGAGCCCGATGTGGGACTCGATCCCGGGACTCCAGGATCATGACCTGAGCCGAAGGCAGTCGCTTAACCAACTGAGCCACCCAGGCGCCCCTTCACTGTAATCTTTCTTGACTAAGAAAAGGTTTCTAATTGGAATTTTAAATTGAAGCACTAGGAGTTGCACTGAATAATACTAATAAATAAAAATTGATACTGACCTTTTAGAGAAACTAACATTTCTAAAAAATAACAGGTACTTTGATTATATTGGATAATCTACTTCAACTGTAATTTTATTCTTTGATGACATTTTTATATATTTGTTTTCCACTAGTACAACAGTACTAAAAAAATAGCCACGGCCATGAACTTTGATAGGTTTGTGAATCAAAACCTAAACCTTAACTTCTGTTTCATTTTTATATGAGTATTAATATTTCCTTTTTTTTTTTAAGATTTTCTTTATTTATTTGAGAGAAAAAGTGCACGAGAGGGGTCAGAGGGAAAAGCAGACTCCCTGCTGAGCAGGGAGCCCGATGCAGGACTCGATCCTGGGATCATGACCTGAGCTGAAAGCAGTCACTTAACCAACTAAGCCACCCAGGCGCCCCATGAGTATTAATATTTCCAACTTAAAATTTTTCCTCTACCCCTCAATATCTCAACATATTTCAACAAAGTTTAATTAGATACATTTAATGTTGGGTTTCACTATTTTCATTATTACTTCCTAGGCAGTTTCCCTTTAATCATCTGGCACTTTTGCAAAGTTTTCCCACGAAACGTAGTCTTGTTTAAATGAGATGAATAGTAAAAAAGAGATTCTGTTATTTTAAGGTTTTGATGATCCTATTACCTTATCTGCATATGTAACATCCAGTGACCCCATTCTTAACCATAGTTACTAAATTCTGTAATAAATCACAACTGTCTTTGATATTTCAGTTATATTCTCCATTACATTAACTGTTGCTTAATCAACTTTATTACCAAAAACAACTAAAAGTACACCTGATTATTGCCATTATAATTCGTATTTACCATCCTCCTTAAGGTGCTTCCAATTTTTCCATTTTGTTGCTTTTTTATACATTTTATCCATTTGTGTCAATCTTAGTGCCTGGTCATTTTTCCTCATTAATTGTTGCTCAAATGCAATTCTGAATGCATCTGCCATTATGTAAGCTTCTTCTTTACTCTTCTGCAAAAGTCCCAACTAGTTTTGAAAGAAAGTTTGAGAGGTGTCAGAAGCAAAACATAACAATTCTTGCCTGAATACTGAATCAGATTAGCAAATGTAGTCTCCCTGCCTTAAGCATGGTTCTAGTGTCTGATCTAGTCCATCTGCTTAAACTAATTAGTACTTGCTAATTACCCTCTATAGTAGCTGCCCACTCTGAACTAAATTACCAGAAGTTTCCCGCGTGGTGCCTGACCATTCCTTGTTAATCTGTTTCTTGGACCTCACCACATTACCCTAGACAGGCCCTGTGTGTGTCCTGCCCAAACAGTAAGAAAGGAGGATGCCAAAGGCTGCATTTCAATTCTGCCTTGGGCCATTCCAGACAGTATCACTGAAAATAATTATGAGTATCACTTTTTACATATCCGCATAGCTGACCCTGACTCTGATCTGTGTAATCTTTGCTTTTCTTAATGAATTGCCAACATTTATGTTATTTTTCCTATATCTGAAGATTTAAAGTTCCATTCTTCAATAAAGGTAAAATATTTTTTTAAAATTATAGTCCATGTTCTGTATTTGTTTTTTAAAAACTAATGATAATGGCAAACGTTGTTTGATTAAATGCCAGGCATCTGCATGGCACTGTGCTAAACATTAAATGTCTGCTTCCTCTGTATCATCGCAACAGCTCAATAACTGGTTATTACTCTCTAATGTGTATCCAAACCCATGCAGCTAGAAAATACTAGAGCTGAGACTTAAACTTACGTCTGGCTGGTACAAAGGTTCTTTCCACTGTACCTTGCTGCTTTTCTAATAAGCTTCATGTTTATCTCCCCATTTATCAGAGTTGTGGATCCTAGTGATTTTAAGCATGAGTGTGCTGATATAGTAATTTTTAGGGCCATTTATAGAGAAAAGAAAAATTTAGGCAATGTTAACTACAAGCTTACGCAAACAACGTCATGTTGCCACCATATTGTGCCAGGTACTATTTGTATTTTGGAACCGTGTAAATAAAAATAAAATTTATGAGTTAATTCTATCACATAAAACTACAAATAAGTTCCATAGCCAATGACTACTAAAATGAAGCTAATTATTGCAGGTATTTTCCTTTATTACTAGAGAAACAAAACAAAAGCTTTAGTGTGTTTTGATAATACAATACCTCCTGTTTGAGCTTAAGAAGCATTTTGCGAGCAGATGCCGCCATTTTGGCACAATCGCAGGGACTCCCTCTAGGGCCATGGCAAAGGCAGCCTCCGAGGACAGCAAGCTTTAAATCCAAAAGCATTACTCCCATTACTAAGTGCCACACTGCCTAGCTGCACACAAACATAAGAGCACACACACACATACACATTTCTATTCAAGCATCATTCAAAGAACCTGGAAAGAAAGAAAAAAACTAAAAGCTGAGAGTAGGACTTCAAGATCCAAGTGGAAATTACATAGGAAGAAACAATGTTACTACTTGGAACAAAACCTTAAAGGAATTCAACCTTGCTTTTCCTTCTCTAAAACCTTTAAGTGGGCACCAATTTTCTATAGTTCTGTATCCCTGGCAGCGACTTGACCTAATGAAGTAAATATTAACACCCACTGTGTGTTATTTCTTGTTACTGAGCTTGGTCCTGCTGCCCAGCATTTACTCCTACCGGTTCCCACCAGGGAGAGGTAAATGGTCAGAAATGATGAATGACTTCTAGTATGTGAGGAGAATAACCATCCTTCCACTTCTAAAAAATACCTGTCATCATGTAATGTGAGACACAGCTAACACAGCTTCTGCTAAAACTATAAAAAGAAATAAAAGGGGCAGGAGGTGGCCAGCACATCTTCTAGTGTCCAAGAATATAGTGCATGGACGGTCATGGTGCCAGTAAGGCTGAAGAACTGCCCTGGGGAAACCGATGGGCCTCTCCTTACCCTCACTCTCAAACTGCTAAGTATAATGCTATTCTAGAACATGGAGCAGGTGATGGGGAAAAGGAAAGTAGAAAATTTCCCTCTTGTTCAATTTTCTTTTTTAAAGGTTTTATTTATTTGACAGAGACACAGCGAGAGAGGGAACACAAGCAGGGGGAGTGGGAGAGGGAGAAGCAGGCTTCCCGCGGAGCAGGGAGCCCGACGCAGAGCTCGATCCCAGAACCCTGGGATCATGACCTGAGTCGATGGCAGACATTTAACGACTGAGCCACCCAGGCACCCCTTGTTCAATTTTCATACCTGCTTACCTACCTCAAGACTTGAAACCTCTGTAAAACCACTTTTATCATGGTGCACGTTTTCCGGAGCCACCGTCTGCCATTTCACATCAAGCATGGCGAGGGCCTCTAAATACTGTTGATTTAAAACTAGGAAGGGCCAAAGAAGAGAGTGTTATGAAATTTAACTCCGGCCTCACCTGAGTTACACCAACATTATATACTCATTTCTTACAAGCAATGCATATACACAGACATTACCTACTACATCTGGCCCCATCCCGAAAAAAGGTATCAAGTGAGATAATACATATATAACACTAGATTAAATAGGACTATTTTTAACGTTGAAGTATTTTAATTTTGCAAACAAAGTCTGGTCTTCATTTGGTCAAAGAAAATTTGCAGGATTTTCAAAGAGAACACACAAATGCAAATTATTTGCACTTGTTGGATCGTAAGACAACCAGATGATGAGATCTCCTACGTTAACGTCAAATGTACCAGCTATACAAACTTTATCGGACTTCTGTTAAGAGTTTTCACAAGAGGCTCTCAACCAAACACTTAGAACAAGAAGGGTCCTGCTATCTACTGAGCAGAAAATAGTAACTTTCCCTCTCTTGTTGCAGGGTGAGGTGGTAGAGGGGGAGGGGTTGTGGCTGTGGGCAACTTCTGTCCTGAACTAACAAATCTCCCATCTGCCGAATCACTGGTGTTGAGAAGCACCACTTTCTGTGTGCAGTTCTCACCCCAGGACTCTGCCACAGTACGTTTACTAAACTACAGAAAGTGCCCCTCTCAGGTCCATGACCTGATTTAGAACTTCGTCCCCTTCAAGCCACTACTTTAAAACAGTTTCTGCTAAGAAGGAAGAACCAACATCTCTTAAAATTTTATAAAAAGTTGACGCCATCTTAATATTCTTAAAACACCTTACTATTCTTTTATTAACTTTTGTCATAAGGTGGCTCATTAGATAAAGGGTATATATGTATACACATATATGTAAAAAATTTCAAGTTTTTAATAAGTCATCTTGAAAAATTAAGAATATTAATCTTAGCAATAAAGTCACAAGATATTTTTAAGAGAAAGTAATGTTGAATAATTACACAGCTACATACTTTTCCTACTAGTATTCCAATAAAACATATACCCACTAAGGTTCCTCAACATCAGGTGCTCTACAATCTTGTTTTACAATGAGTATAAAAACTAAAGGATAAAGGGAGAATGGGGAGAAATACTTAATGGATATAGGGTTTTATTTTGGAGTGATGAAAATCTTTTGGAATGAGATGGTTGCAAACATTGTGGGTGTTATGAATTACTTTTGAATGGTTGGTTAATTTTGTTAATTGAATTTCACCTAAAAATTTTTTTAAATTGCCAAAACCCTAAAAGATGCATATCTTCTATTATCCTTAAAGCATATTACTTTGAAATAATAGCACTTTGTCTATCAATATGTATGTTCTTAACATAGGATACTCTATTTAAAAATTATCTTGTAACATAATATTTTTAAAGAATCAAAATACCACTCTTCACTTACGTGCATTTTCCGACTTGAGCATTTTAATTTCTTCTGTTTTTACATTCAAAGTTTCTTGGAGGACTGCATTTTCACAGTTTAGCCTGGAAAAAAGTACCCTCCAAATAACTTAACACTTCATGGTTGAATGAGAATATTTTTATCCCATAATTAGAACACAAAAACCCAAATAAAATTTTTCCTACTTCAAAACAGTCTAGAACATATATGTGTCATAAAACAAAAATAATTTAAGAGTGTGGTAATGGGGCGCCTGGGTGGCTCAGACGGTTAAGCGTCTGCCTTCGGCTCGGGTCATGGTCCCAAGGTCCTGGGATCGAGCCCCACATTGGGCTCCCTGCTCAGCGGGAAGCCTGCTTCTCCCTCTCCCCCTGCTTGTGTTCCCTTTCTTGCTGTCTCTCCCTCTGTCAAATAAATAAATAAAAATCTTAAAAAAAAAAAAGTGTGGTAAGATTTTGAACATACTCTTAATTTGTCTGTATATTTAGCTGAGAAAGAATCAGAAGTATCTCAAATTAAAAAATAATAAAATAATAAAAAGTGGGCGGGGGGCCTGGCTGGTTCAGTGGGTAGAGCATGTGACTCTTGATCTCAGGGTCATGAGTTCAAGCCCCATATTAGGTGTGGAGCCTACTTAATAAAAATTAATAGGGGTCCCTGGGTGGCTCAGTGGGTTAAGCATCTGTCCAACCCTTGATTTCAGCTCAGGTCATGATCCTCAGTGTTGTGAGATCAAACCCCATGTCAGGCTCCACGCTGGGCATGGAGCCTGCTTAAGATTCTCTTTCTCCCTCTCCCTTTAATTAATTAAAATAAAAAAAAAGAATCAGGGGTGCCTGGGTGGCTCAGTCAGTTAAGCATCTGGCTTCAGGTCATGATCTCAGGATCCTGGGACCGAGACCCGACTCGGGCTCTGCACTTAGTGGGAAGTCTGCTTTTCCCTCTAGCCCCCTCTCCCTGCTTGTGCACACTCTTTCTCAAACAAGTAAAATCTTAAAAAAAAAAAAAAATGGGGCACCTGGGTGGCTCAGTTGGTTGAGCATCTGCCTTCGGCTCAGGTCATGATCTCTCAGTCCTGGGATCGAGCCCTGCATCGGGCTCCCTGCTCAGTGGGGAGCCTGCTTCTTCTCCTCTTGCCCCAGCTCATCATGCTCTCTCTCAAATAAGATTTTAAAAAATAAAAATAATAAAAAGAGAATCAGAAGTATCTCTGAGGCATCCTTTTGAATATTCATTTTCTTTACTAAAGTTTTAATCATCTTCACCACCACCTATAAGCTTAGGCCACCTCCAAGAACTTGCATAAAAAGATACTTAGTTTATACTGCAAAATACTGGAAACAATCTAAGTGCCTATCAAGGAGAATGGTTGAGTACACTATGGCACATCCACACAACGGATTGGTTTCCAGAATATATTGTTAAATAGAAAAAACAGTTTAAAAGACTATCTACAGTCTTCTTTGGTGTAAGAAAGAAGGAGAAATAAGAGAAAAGACATATATGCCCATTTGTGCAAAAGGAAACACAGGAAGGATAAATAAAAAAATAGACTGGTTATCTACAGATGGTGAGGAAAAGGAAGGATGACAGGAGGCTGGGAATGGGGTAGGCATGGGGGGAAAATGACATTTCTGAGTATACCTCTCAGAATAGTTCTGACTTTTGGAAGCATGGGAATGTTTTACAGAGTCAAAAATAAAGACGAATAAGTAAATCAACAAGGATGGTGAAAAAAACGTAAGAAAGAATACAGATAGAAACAAATGAACTTAAATGAACAGTATAACCATACTGAAGAGAAAAAAATAAGTTGTATTTTTTTTTAAAGATTTATTTGAAAGAGCGCAAGGAAGCACAGGGGTTGGGGTGGGGCAGAGGGAGAGGGAGACAGAAACTCAAGCAGACTCCTCATTGAGCATGGAGCCCGACACAGGGCTTAATCTCACGACCCTGAGATCATGACCTGAGCTGAAATCAGGAGTCAGACACTCAACCAACTTAGCCATCCAGGTGCCCCAAGAAACTAAACAAGTTTGGAACACGGTGTATTGACTGGATCCCCTCAGGCTAGGAAAAAAAAAACTATAAACAGATACTGAACTCTAGGTTTGATTCTGCAATGGTGTATATTAGCAATTCTAAAGCTACTTTCTGCATATTGTATGACAGAATGAATAAGTAAACGTTGGGTGAAAGTTGTTTCTCACTGTGGAAGTTACAAATGTGGAAAGGAGCAAGGCTAAAATTAACCTTGTGGTGGTGGTCTGCAATTGGAGATAGGGGTATGAACAGAGAGAGAGAGAGGTTTAGGTATGTGTCAGTGTGGGTGTATATTTCCAGCTCTGTCCTCTGAGACCTTTTAGCAATGACTTCCAGTAGCAATGAGCACACTTAGCACTAAGACCTTGATTTCTTTTTTTTTTTAAGATTTTATTTTTATTTATTTACTTGATAGAAACACAGCGAGAGAGGGAACACAAGCAGGGGGAGTGGGAGAGAGAGAAGTAGACTCCCCACTGAGCAGGGAGCCCGATGCGGGGCTCGATCCCAGGACCCCGGGATCATGATCCGAGCCGAAGGCAGACGCTTAACAACTGAGCCACCCAGCCATCCCAAGAACCTGATTTCTAAACACCATTCCCCACTAAAAGGAACCAGGGATCCCTGAAGAAATGCTTAATATTTTATATATAACGGCCTAGAATATCTTATACCAGAAAGCAAAGTGCTCAAACAATAATAGGGAGGTGTCAGAAAGCCACAGGAGCCAGCGTGAAGGGGCTCCCACTGACCAAAGTTGGAAATTTTTTTTTTTAAGATTTATATATTTTTTTTAGAGACAGAGTGAGCAAAAGCACACGCATACCCAGGGGAGGAGGGAAGGGCAGAAGCAGAGGGAGAGAATCTGAAGCAGACTCCCCACTGAGTGCAGAGGCTGATGCAGGACTCAGTCTCACAACCCTGAGATTATGACCTGAGCTAAAACTAAAAAGAGTCAGATGTTTAACCCACTGCACCACGAGGCACTCCCAAAATTGGAAAATTTTAAGCAACAAAAGAAATTACGAGAGTAATGGCTTTTAACCAGTTGAATGCTGTAAGAATTCATGAATCCATTTTGGGATAAACAAATGGGAGAGAAAAAAAGCTCTTTACTACAGTAAAATGCCAGCAAATAAATGCAGAGGAAGTAACAGAATTAGCAAATTACCATTTGGCAGCCATCACAGTAATGACTGCTTCAGACAGAATAATCTGTGGATGTAAAAACTAGTGGGTAAAAATCTGATAAATCACATAATCTCAAAGCATCTCCCCCACAAGATGCTTATTAATCACAAGGGGAAAAAATAGTGCCTTTATAGTGGAGAGTGAGGGCACACAACCCACCTTAACCCAAGTAGTCAAGATTCACAGGCTAGGAATGGGACAGATCAACTTCACAGGCCTCCGGATGTGATCCGCTAAGAACACAACACTGCTTCAGTGGTAATATGTCCAAATGCATAGCCCAAATTAAGTTCAGATGCACCAGATGTCTCCAATGTGGGACATTACATAACTGGCCTGTCCTCTAAATATGTCAAGAACAAACACTGAATAACTGTTTCAGATGTTTTCTCCCCCTGCCCCTCACTTCAGCCTCCCTCCCTCCTAAGTGTTTCCGATTAAAGGGTTCTAAGGTTTAGATGGGAAAAGCAAACAAAATGCGTGATTCTGGACTGGCTCCCAGAAACAGGAATTTTTTTCCTCTCTTTTGCTAAAGGGGTGTTAGTACTAGAATAATTAGCAAAACTAAATAAAAGAGTATCAGATTGTCTTAATTTTGATAATATTACTGTGGTTATAAAAGTCCCTTTTTATAAACACAGAGTGAAATATTTAGAGTAATGAGGCCTTATATATAAGCAACTTACTTTTTTTTTTAAAGATTTTATTTATTTATTTGACGGGGGGGGAGAGTGCACAAGCAGGGGGTGCAGCAGAGGGAGAGGGAGAAGCAGACTCCCTGCCGAGCAGGGAGCCCGATGTGGGGCTCTATCCCAGGACCCCGGGATCATGTCCTGGTCCGAAGGCAGATGTTTAACTGACTGAGCCACACAGGCGCCCACACTGCTTTTTAAAATACAGTTTATAGGGGTGCCTGGCTGGCTGGCTCAGTAGTACATGTGACTCCTGATCTTGGGGTTGTGAGTTCAAACCCCATTGTGGACATAAAGTCTACTTAAAAAATAAATAAATAAAATATGAAACTGGTGAAAGCGGATAAGCAGTAAGAATTTCATAATATTCACAGCCCACAGAAGAACACCTAAGCTATATCTGAATTATATACACTTTATGGAGTCCCTGGCTGGCTCAGTTGGAAGAGCCTGTGACTCTTGATCTCGGGGTCATGAGGTCAAGCCCCATGTTGGGAGTAGAGATTACTCAAATAAATAAATATTAAAAATAATATATAAAAATAATAATAAAAATATAGATAACTAATACACACTTTAAAGATTTCCAAAGAAAAACTATAGAATAAGAATATACAAACCTGTCATATTTTTGGGTCCATGATTCCTCTATATTTTTAAATCTATTCTGATCAAACTCTATTTCCCACTGCAAGGCATTTATTTCCTGTAGAAAGAAAACAGCACTTTTCATGGAAAATTACTACAGATCACTTCAGGACAGTGTGAGTAGCTGAAATAAATCGTTAATCACTTAAAAGGATAGGTTAAAGAGAAACTAATTATTGTTCAAAAAGAATCTTGTGACATTTGTAAACACACATAACATGCCTTTTTAACACTCAAGAAAAGCTTTGCCAAAGCTTACTTATTGCAAGAAACAGCTTCAAATTTTGCTGCTCAGAGCCTAGATTTCTCATTGCCCCACCCCCAACCCATACAGACCACAAGCAAAACACGTGCCCGGGAGTTTGAGCCCAGGACACTGCCATCGAGGGAGGCTACAACTGGCACAGGAACAGGAGCTTCCAAGGTGATTCCTAGCTACCGTTTAGTGACGATGAGATGGTAAGAAAGAGGCAGGCTCTGCCAGGCAAGAAGAGAAAGGAAAGAGGAAAAAGAAGAAAAATAGAAAGTGTCAACTTGGCAAGCCTCCTACTAGCTTAAAACGAGGCAATAAAAGAAATCTTAATTCTTTGCCCGTGTAATAGTATGTTTTGGATTGTAAGCTCCAAAAGGGAAGGGACTGTATAAAACAGAAGCACAACTAAGAGGGTATGCACAAAGGACATGCCCATCGGCACGGTGGTTTTTAAAGGAAATTCTATTTGACAGCGTAGTGGACTGCACAAGTCTACACTGAAAGTGGCAAATACCTTCTCCAAGGATCTCTTTTGTTCCATAGTTTTTTGCAGCATCATTTGGGTGTGACTTGTGGCTTTGCCAAAAACTGCCTAAGAAGAATAAGAAGCCTATCAGTATAAATTAAGTTTCTCATTACTCCTATATGCATACTAAGGTTCACATTTTTAAGACGATAGAAAACCAGAGAATTTCCATAGAGACCACCTTTTAGAGAGAATTTGATAGTTCACACATCAAAAGATCTTGGTTTGACTCTCCTGATGAATATGAGAATGAATGAATGAACTTTCCACACAAAGACTGGCACATGAACAAATAAAGCAGTGTTATTCATAAGAGCCCAAAAGAGGAAACAGCGTAAGTGCCCATCAAATGGTGAATGGATAACCAAAATACGGCATAACCATATAATAGAGGCAATAAAAAGGAAGAAAGTACTGACACATGCCACACCATGCATGAGCCTCAAAAACATGTTAATTAAAGGAATCCAGACACATATTTTATCATTCCATTTACATGAAATAGAAAAGACAAATCCAAAAGACAATAAGGAGATTAGTGGTTGTCTGGGGTTGGGGATGTGAATGGGTAATGACCGCTAATGGGTTAGAGATTCCTTTTGGGGAATATTGAAAATATTCTAAAATTAGATCATGGTGATGGTTATGCAACTCCAAGGTTAGCAAAAATAAACTGTACACTGAAAACAAGTGAAATCCATGGCATATGAATTTTACCTCAGTAAAACTGTTTTAAAAATCTACACCTCAAAAAAAAACCCTATATTAAGCACTGATGCTTTTATTTTAAAAGATAAAACCATACTACCTATGATTGGAATGTTAAGTGACCAAAATTTAAAAATAACTTCTTACCATGCTTTGAAGAATTTTCAGTGCTTCCTCTTTACCTTCTAGTTGTCTCTGAGATGCCTCAAGTTCAGTTTTTAAAATTTCTACCTCCTGAGGGGAGAAGTAAAATTAGTCTACATATCTGTAAGATATGCAACCCTCAACATGATCAATTTGGATAGTTTACATGTAAGCTCAACACTCTGACACTCAGCAAGCACTCTGAATCTAAGCACTCTGACCTTACAAAAGAGGCTGGAAATTCCTCCAGGCTTCCTAAGTGGCCTAGGCAGGCTTTAGACTGAAACTCTCAGCATCAGGTACCCATTTTAACTAAAAACCCAGACCTTCTGCTTTTACCCTTCCAGACCACACAGCTAATAATCTGAAAATAATCTCTACAGCACCAATAATAAGCACGTGCTCACCCACAGAGCTACAGTGGCTATCATCAGTTGAGTTATGTCTTTCCCACCAAGGAAAGTTTTGTCCAAATCCTAACTCCTGGTACTAAGAATGTGACCTTATTTGGAGACAGGGTCTTTGCAGATATAATCAGATTAAGATGAGGTCATCCTGGATCAGGGTAGGCCTCAATGACTCCTGTCCTGAGACAAGGCAAGTTTGCGCCCAGACACAAAGAGGAGAAGGCCATGTGACAAGAGAGGCAGAGACTGCAGTGATGTGGCTGTAAGCCAAGGAATGCCAAGAATGTCAGTGGCAACCACCAGAAGCTAGGACGAGGCAAAGAAGGATTCTCCTCGACCTTCCAGAGGGAACATGGCCAACTGACATCTTGATTTCAGATTTCTAGCCTCCAGAACTGAGAGAATAAACCTCTGTAGTTTTAAGCCACCTGTTGGTGGTGCTTTGCTACAGCAGCCCTAGAAAACAAAATGGTAGCTCAGTAGCTTTCACCAGAAGAGTTACAAGTTCACAGTGGGTCTTCCTGTTCCCCTGCACACATACTCCTACTCCCAGCAGCAGGCTGGACACAGAGCACCTGGAAAGCCTGCTGTCTTCTGACTTCAAAGAGGTTAAATTAAGTCAGTTTATTTCAAGCCACACACACAGGGAAGGCGGAGGGAAGTCTGTAACTCTCTTGTGAAAGGTTTGGGTGAAAGGCAAGCTGGAGGGTCTGTTTACGTAAATAGCTTTCTTGAGAGATGAGGAAGGTAAGAGGTCTCTTCAGAGGAGACCAGTTGAAAGTTATGAGCTTTTACACTGTGGCTCACTGAACATATCTGGAAAGACAGTATTTAAAATATCAGTGGGCTTTGTTCACAGGAGAATTTTTGTATTAGCCGGAGTACTTACCTCTAAAGTATCCTGAAGACGTCGCTTTAATTCTACACTTGACAATTCTGAATTAGAATCTATTAGGAAAAAAACAAAACAAATACTTTTTTTTAACTAGTTGAATACAGGACATCTGTTTACAAAATATCAAATACAATTTTTTGTCAAGAGGAAAGAGTTGTAATAAACCACATAATGATAAAAATAGGTAGCTTAAAACATGGCACAAATGAAAAGATACATACATTTGAATAAAAATACTCCTTAAAAAGGTACTCTCTAATAAAACTTGTTAATGAATTGTTTAATTACTACATACAAAACAGTATTTAAAAACATGAATGTTGGTGAGTGAAATAAACTCTGGTGTTTGGCTTAAGTTTGATCAATATAGTGATATGAAATATCTAAGAAATAACCTGAATTTAATTTCTTTCCAAGGAGAATGACTAGAAGTCTCCTGTAACTTCAATTACTCTCTCCTTACTGTGATCAATTGAGACATTAAACTGAGCTTCCCAGGAGCTTCATTTTCAGTGTGGTCTCACTGGCAATAGAAAAACATGAAAGTGGTAAATTACAAGCAAGAAGACTAAGAAGAAGTAAAAGGAAGAAAAGATTTTTTAGAAAGAGTATTTTGAGGGACATTAAAAACTTCTCAAAACAATTTCTTCTTTGCTGTTCTGAACTTTCAGTATGACAGTATCCAAGGCAAAAACTAAGTCTTGTTTTTATTCCAATGGCACAAGGCTCCAAGGAGAGACAAGTGACATTGGGTTGGCAATGACAAGTTCTGTTGTAGTAATACTTGTGCTAGGCAGAATAATGGCCCTAAAGATGACCACATCTTAATCCCCGGAACCTGTGAATACACGGCAAAAGGGACTTTGTTGGTTTAAGTTAAGGACTAGGAGATTATCCTAGATTATCCAGGTGACCCCATTGTACTCACAAAGGGTCCTTATGAATGAAAGAGGGAGGCAGGAAAGTCAGTGTCAGGGTGAAACAGCATGAGAAAGACTTGACCAGCCATTGCTGGCTTTGAAGATGGAGGAAGGTGGCCACAAGCCAAGGAATGTAGGTGGGCTCTAGAAGTTGAAAAAGGCTCAGGAACGGATACTCTTCTCAGGAATAGAGTCTCCAGAAGGAACGCAGCCCTGCCGACATCTGGATTTTAGCCCAGTAAAACCTGTTTTGGATTTCTAACCTGCAGAACTGTAAGATAATAAATTTGTGTTATCTTAAGGCATTAAATTTGTGGTAATTTGGAAATTACCTATTAGCGGACAAGAAACCAGTACAATATCCTTAGGTAGGATCAGGCTAACTTGAGATAAAAGTCCATAACCCAACAAGACAGGAGCTCATACTTTTACTGTTTCATTTTGTTTATATCCCAGTGGTTTCCTCATGTTCTTATAAAGGCATTTTAGCAATATGTGCGGTTTTCAGCATCTTGCTTGCAAAACAGAACCCAACCTCTATGCATAAGGAACTGAAAGAAAAATATATAAATAATCCTGTCCTAATTTCAAGAAGGATTTTGAAAGATGGGGGATAAGATCCCCATCTGCAGCATGTTTTTTGTAAATCTAAAAACCATGTTTCTTAAATTATTCTCATGTTGTTCTAATTTGTGTTTGTTCCACTTGCGTGGGGGAAGGTTTACCACATGGATTATAGAAGATTCAGCCAGACAAGAGCTATGCCACCAGGTAGGCATGGAGTCACCCCTGGGTTCCCAACAATTTTGGAGTTGTAACATTCTATCACAATGTGATTCTGAATTTTATTCTTTCTTTAATATATGGCATAATTTATTTTTTGTTCTGATAAATTAAGACGAATTTTATGAGAGGCACCTGGCTGCCTCAGTCGGTGGAACATGCGACTCTTGATCTCTGGGTTGCACTACCCACACTGAGTGTAGAGATTACTTTTAAAAAAGATTAATTTTTAGGGGGAGGATTTCATGACATTCATAAAATAACTGGAAGCATACATCTTTTGCCTGGAACATACCTTCCCCAGATAAGTACCAGGCCTGGACATCATTTCATTCTGGTGCTCAAAAGCCCCCTCCTTAGATAGGTACCCCGACCCTTGCCTGAAAGAGCATGCACCAACCCCTCCAAATACTCACTGTCCCTGCACCTACTACTGCCTGATGTTACCTAGCTGTTGACTGGTAGATAATTTTTTCTTTCCTCTACTAGAATGTGAACTGCATGACATGGAGACTATTTTGTTCACTAATGTTCCCAGAGCCTCGAACAACCCCTGGCACCTAAGAGGTACCCAATAAATACTTGAATTAAAAAAAAAAAAAATGGATGATGTATACCACTAAATCACACACACACAAAAGCAAGGTAGATAATCACCGATATCACTAACATATCTGTATTAATGCAAAATAACTACTACACTCCTCCATTTGTACAATACTTGGAAATAGAAATATGGGTTACTTTTATACTAGCACCAATCCCACAAGGTGAATAAAGATGAATCCCCACACACCACAGTGACCTATTGTCTGGTGTTGGAAGGGTGAAAACACTGATGAAATTCACAGGAGAGGAGGAGACAGGAGAGGGCACTAAGCATTCTTACCACTGCTACTCTGTTGTCTGGAGTGGGAAGTTCTGGGCTCTGCAGGGTATGTATCTTGCAAGCCCTTATGCCTGGAATACTGAAAAATGGCGCCACTTCCTTCTTCCCCCTGTCCTGGAAGTGAGGGTGGGCTGAAGTTCTTGCCATCAGATCTTTTTCTTGATGTCGATAGGCGTGAAACTTGCACTTCGTAAATACCGCCGGGCCTTCTTCCGAGGCCATACCCCAAGTCGCCTTCTGCCATGTCATCGTCCTCCGTTTCCCAGGCCCACAGCTCTGCCTCGCTCGGCGGCCTCACCACCCTGCTCATCAGCCAGATGCCATATGTAACATAAGGAAAACCAGGTTGTTATCTGTGATTAAGAGAAATAGTAGTTTAAAAACCATCAGTATAATAAAGTTGGGTTTTAGTGGGGAGAAAAGTTTCTTTCTCTCAGGCATGACTATCCCAGCGAGGCATCAGCACACAAACAGCCCTTACAATCCAATTCAAGTTATTTAACATTTAAGGGCCTTTTAGGTAGGAGAAGATCCAACCTCTTATTTCAAAGATTGCAGTGAATTATAAGGAAGCAGGAAAACCTTTTTACTGAATCTAATTATTTCCTGATCAGGATAAAGCAGATCAGCTTTTGCCAAGGAAAGAGAAGAAAGGGTATGGCTTTAACAAGTCGAAGAGCTGTATAGAATTCAAGAAGTCTCTGAAAACGGGGACTTGCAGTGGCTACGGAGACCACCCCGCCTCTGTCCCTTCATGGCCCTTCATGCACTTCAGGGGCTCGGCGCTCTTAGAGCCCCTCCTCTAGCTCTACTTGGTTTATCTTCTGTTTCTATGAAGACACAGTTCTCCTGGGATGCTCTTCCCCAGTTGCTCAACTGGTTCTTCACCTCCTCTGGGTCTTTCCTTCAGTAGCACCTCCGTGACTGACACCGGGTCTAAAATTGCCACCTCCTCCTTCTCCCACTTCTCTGCTTTATTTTGCCCCTTAGCACTTAGGACCTTCTAACGTACCCCTCCCTATTTTACTCATTTTTCTAATCATGCCACCAAAAGGGGGAAGGGAGTACAAAAGTGGGAGCCTAGGAAAGTAGGAGTTGGTTCTGACCGGCCTATGATGCCTCTCAAAAGTAGGGCAACCTGAAACTTTTCCTCTGCCAGAGTTGAGACCTGCTCCAGATGGCCCTAAGCGGAATAGAAAATTTTGTCTGTTTGGATCATCACTGCGTTCCCAATGCCTAAGACAGTATCTGGGACATAACTGGTACTCAAGAAATACTTCTTAAATAAGTGAATGAAGGAAGGAATAAACAAACTGAAATACTTGCCTATCTGGCAGAAAAATAGTCACCTCAGCAAGGCTCCACCCTGCATACTGTGGAGCTAAGTGCCTGCCCTTCTTCCCAGAAGAAAACATTCCAGATAAAATGCCTTACAGTGCCCGCCAATGAGCCCTCCCTGTGGGGAGACCACTGACCACTGTAGGCACCTACCTGGTGGCTGGACAGCACCTTAACTGCTCAGCCTTGTTCCTCCCGCACAGAGGACGGTTGAGAAGGACTTTCACCACCAGGCATTTCAAAACCGCTATTTTGATGTAGTTGTTTAGAAACATCTCAATCCTCTTTTCAAGACTCATTAAAAAAAAATAAATACATCTGACATCTTTTCTAAATATCCTGCTCTTTAAATAATTGCTTACCAGGACTTTAAAAAATAATTGAATCTAAGTCTTGCATTTTCTAGTGAGATGTTTCTCTTATTCTTCCACGATTAAAACCACACATAGGGTGCCAGGGTGGCTCAGTTGGTTAAGTGTCTGCCTTGGGCTCAGGTCATGATCCCAGGGTCCTGGGGTCAAGCCCGCATTGGGCTCCCTGCTCAGCGAGGAGGCTGCTTCTTCCTCTTAGCTCTCCCTCTGTTCTCTCTTTCTCGAATAAATAAAATCTTGAAAAAAAAAAAAAAAAAAAAAACCACACATAGATGCCAGATAAATCTGATCATGTTTGAAGGGGTTTCTGTTGTTTTATACTTTTTTTTTTTTAAGATTTTATCTATTTGAGAGACAGAGAATGAGTGCACAAGCAGGGGGAGCGGCAGGCAGAGGGAGAAGACTCTCTGCAGAAGAGGGAGCTGGACCGGGACTGGTGATCACGACCTGAGCCGAAGGCAGACGCTTAAAGGACTGAGCCACCCAGGTGCCCCAGTACCATATATTTTCAATATTTGAAAGCAAAAGCTCTTACAGGTTTGAAAGATAACATCATAAAAGAAGGTACACAGACAAAAAGATGCTCATCGTTAGTTGTCAGGGAATTGTAGATTTAAACTATAATGAGATTCTGTTACATACCACTGTCAATTCTGTGTTGCTGCGGATGTGGACATACACAGTTGGCAGGGGTATAAAATGGTACAACCCCTGAGGAAAAGTTTGACAGTTTCTTTTAAACAGGTGATCCAGCAATTGGGGCATTTTTGATATTTACCCAAGGGAAAAGAAAACATATGTTCAGACAAAGGTGTGTGCATGAAGGGTCACAGCATTACTCAAATTGGCCCCAAACTGTTAACAACCCATATGTCCATCAACAGAAAAACAAACTGTGGTAAGTTCATACAACAGAATATATTCGGCAATAAATAATGAATTTCTAATGTATGTGACAACGTGGATGTATCTCAGAGACATTGTGCAAACAGAGGAAGACATACTGTGTGAAATCCTGGCCAAACTAATATACATAACAGACACAGATCAGTGGTTGCCTAGGGTGAAAGGCTGCCTTCAGAGAGCATGAACAAACTTTTTGGGGGTGATAGAAAAGTCTTCTATCTTGACCAGAGTGATGGTTTGTCAAAACTTATCATCCTTACATTTTATTGTATGTAAATTATACCTTTAGAATGTGAAAAAAATTATTTTTTTAAAAAATTTAAAAAAAAATTTTTAAACCAAAAAGAATAAGGGATCTTTAACTGGATTAGGGGACAAGATGAGAAATGCGTTCATCAGTTGTAACCCTCCTAGATAAGCAAATTATTAAAGTAGATGCTTTAAATCAGCTCCAGTTCTTTTTCAGTGATGTAATAATAGTACTTGTTGCTTATTTCTATGTGCTAGGCACTATTTAAGTGTTTTACTTATTCTATTTAATCTTTACTTTGCAAGACACTCCTGTTATTAAGTCTAGACAATTAAACTTAAGCACAGAGAGGTTAAGTAACATACCTAACAAGAGAAAGAACCAGATTCTGAATCCTGATCCCTCATGTCAGAGACACTGTGACTCTTAGCCACTGCTTTCTGCGAATGTGAATGAAATTAACATCAGAATAAACCACATTTCTATTATTTATAACATCAAACAGAACTGGAAGTAAAAGTCATTTTTCCCCCAAATTTTTACAAAATCATCTTGGCTCCTTTCCGAAATAATGTTTGTCTATTTTTGTCAAGATAGACAAGAAATTACTCCCTAAGAAGCTGTGTTTCACCTCTATCGCAAATTCCTGCTTATAAATGCAATCTCACACCTCTGTTAGAGGGTGTGATCAGGACTGGGCAGCCAGCAGTGGAGAAAATGGAATTGGTCAACACAAAGGAAAAAAGTAGCAAGAGGAAAGAGTAAGCAACCGCAGGATTAGCTAAGAATATTTTTTAATGTGCCACATAAAACCAGCTATCATCGTTCTCTTTCTGCTGTTCACAGCTGAACATAATGAACTTTCCCATGATCCAGTACTCTACCGTTTTTTTTTAAAATGTAACTTTGGGAACGGCCGGCTGTGTACTCTCTCATGTTTTATATACTAATACTCATATGTAATGAAGTCAAACGAAATGACTTTTAAAACACATGCCTTCTAAGAAAGGGAAAATGTTCTTAAGTTACTAATGTTCCAGTAGCCGGTTTTAAATGTACTCAACGTTGAAAACCAGGCAGGCAGCAGGATGTGTGACAGAGAAGGCCCTGACTCAGGAGGTCTGAGTTCAAATTTCACCCCACCACTTGCTGCTCTATCATCTTGGGCAAGTCCTTTAACTTCTCGGAGCATGTTTTCCAATCTCCAAAATGGGCTTAAGCATTACTACTTTATAGGGTTGTTTTGTACCATCGATGTATTTGAAATCAATGTTTATTGATTTAGAATTTGAGTATCAGTTTCTTTGTTAAATGGGAGGATTGGATAAGATGGTTTTTTGTTTCTTTAAGGCTCTAAAATTCTGGTTCTGTATCAGCATTTCCCAGTGTGCCCCGTGGAATGCTAGTTCAATGGACTGTTGTTGCTAGGAAAAAAAGGGTTCTTCCAGTTTTATTTTTCTTTGCTAGTACAAGCTATACATGACTTCCCCAAAATTACACAGGTAGTGGCCATATCTAGAAGCCATATCTCTGGCTCCTGGCCCAGTGTTCTGGTCACTTGGGAAAGGCCATAGGATGAACAGATGGCAATGAGCAATCTTCCTACATCTGCTCTAAAAAAACTCTCTGAAAAGTGGCCACTGACTTCCTAATTGCTGAATTCCAGCTCCGCAGCCTCTCCCACCTGTGCAGAAGCTATGACATTACCTATTTGCTACAAGCAGGCCCCCAGTTGACCTTAGCTCTTCAGCCCCACGGGGATGACTGACTGCCTCCTGTCGGCCTGCTCAGGCTTCTTTTCCTCTTTCCGTCCCTGCTATGTACATTTGGCTTCAACTGTTAAACACAATTACATACCCATTTCCAGCTGGATGGCCTGCCAGCAATTCAAACACAGCTGTTCAAAAAAGAAATCAATGCCCTCCCGCCCCACCCTAGATCTCATCCTGAGTCCTCTATTTCTGCATATGTATCATTCATTCATGCTCCAAAACACCCAGATCCAAAACTTTGTAAGTTCTCTTTTCCTTGATCCCTTCAGTTACCAAGTCCTCTAGGCCCACAAAATCTCCCCAAACCATATCCTTCTTTGGATATTAACTTTGCAGCCCTGGCTGAATTTATTACCTCTCCTGGGCTAAACCAATAGTTCCCTAGTTGTTCTACTTCAACAACTGTTCATCCTATACAATGCTGCTCCGAGCACAGATCTAATGATGACCCTCTCTTACCCTAAGACGTTCCATGGCTCCCGTGGCATATATAATTAAAGTGTCACCCTGTTATCTACAATTAGACTCCAGTTTTTACTTCCCATTTCAGCTGTCACTGCTCCCTGGACAGGCTCTGTGCTTCCATTACGAAGGACTGCACCTGCACCCAGGCCCTCTCTGTGCAGTCACCTTCAAGCCTCTCCTGGTGCTCTTCTCCACCCCAGGAATGCTCTCTCCTCGAAGTCCCCATCAGCTCATGACAGCCACTCCCTCCAGTAGCCCCCCGACACTCCTGAGCCAGATGTGATTTCCCCTACCTCTGAGCTTCCTAGCTCTGTATTGTACCTTTTTATTTTTTTAAGATATATTAAGAGATGGGGGTGCCTGGGTGGCTCAGTCGTTAAGCGTCTGCCTTCGGCTCAGGTCATGATCCCTGGGTCCTGGGATCGAGCCCCACATTGGGCTCCCTGCTCCGCGGGAAGCCTGCTTCTCCCTCTCCCACTCCCCCGGCTTGTGTTTCCTCTCTCGCTGTGTCTCTCTCTGTCAAATAAATAAATAAAATCTTAAATTAAAAAAAAAACATTTATTGAGAGACAGAGCAAGTGGGAGGAGAGGCAGAGGGAGAGAATCTTCAAGCAGACTCCCGCTGAGCGTGGAGCCCAACACAGGGCTCGATCTCATGATCCATGAGATCGTGACCTGAACAGAAACCAAGAGTAAGATGCTTAGCTGACTGAGCCACACACGTCCGCATTTAAAAAAAATTTTTTTAAGTTTTTTTTTTTTAAAGATTTTATTTATTTTGACAGAGAGAGACACAGCGAGAGAGGGAACACAAGCAGGGGGAGTGGGAGAGGGAGAAGCAGGCTTCCCACGGAGCAGGAAGCCCGATGTGGGGCTCGATCCCAAGACCCCGGGATCATGACCTGAGCTGAAGGCAGACACTTAACGACTGAGTCACCCAGGCACCCCATTTTTTTTAAGTTTTTATTTGAGTAATCTCTACACCCAACCTGGGGCTTGAACTCAACGACCCCAAGATGCAGAGTCACATGCTCTTCTGACTGAGCCGGCCACGCATCTCTGTACCTTTTTTTTTAGTCCTTCCTAACATTTTTATCGCACATGCCCCTTCTGCAAGGAGTATCCAAAGACATGTGATAGACGGAACTGAAAGAAAAAAAGACTTCTGCTTAGAAAACTTGGAGTAGAAGCATCCACACCCACTAGCCTGACAACTCTTGCCCTAGCAAACAGGTTGGTCAAACAGATACCTAATTCCTGCAGGTTCCACAAAGAGGAACTAATGTGGGCCCTCCCTGGTGAACAATGACTTGTTACACCACTCTCTGGCATTTTATTTTTCAACTTTTTGTGAAAATAATTTTAGATTTACATTACGTCTCAAAGATAGTGCAGAGACTTCCTGTATATCCTTTGCTGAGACTCCTGTTAATATTAGGGTACATTTATCAAAATTAATAAGCTAATATTGATACATGCTATTAACCAAACCACAAACTTTACTAGGATTTCCCCAGTTTTTCTACTGATGTCCTTTTTCTGTTGCAGGACACTACACTGCATTTAATGCGCTGTAGTTTTAAGGCTCAACACTAATAGGAAAAATAAAATAAAGGAGGAGGGGTGCGGAAAGCAGAAACAGAATCTTTCAAATCTATTCCTTATTTTTTCAACGTGAGAAAAGGCCATTAAACTAGCATTTAGGGAAAAAGCAGCCGGTGTGCCAGCTTGTCCACAACCTGCTGAGTTTCCACGAATCCGCGCAGCCCGAGCCCATGGTCCTCCCCCCGCAACACACCCCCCGCCCGTCCCCACCTGCCGGGCCTGGCCGGGCACCTCCGCAGCGTCGGTCGCGGGGACAGGATCCCAGACTCCGACCCCGTGCGCAGGAGCCCCCCCGCCCCCGCACCCCACCAAGCGCGCTCACCTGGCGCCGACCGTCTACGCCGCGCGCGCCGCCGCCGCCCTCCAGCCACGTGACCGCGCGCGCCGCCCGGACCGGAAGGAGGGGCGATGCAGCCGTGGCCTCCGGTACCGTGTGGGACGCTTCCGCCGCCTGTCCGCGCCTGCTGCAGGCTCCGTCCAGCTGCAGGCTCCAAGATTTGCCCACTACGAGTGACCGAATTAGAAATGGTAGCGCGAGACTTAGAACAAGCCCGTGTATGCGTCAGTAAAGGTAAAAATGAGATAGCTGAAACATGAAGTGTCCAGGGGTCCCGTAAGAGGAAGCTGGATCCGAGCTGAAGGTCTGGGTGTAGGTGGACCAGGAAAGCAGGCTTTCCGTGCAAGAAATGAGGAGGGCTTTGCGGGCGAGACGAACTGCTGGCGCAAAGGCGTGGCACCGGGAAGGAACAGGAGGGGCCCTAAAGCGTTGCTGCTGGGAACGAGCCCCGTAGGTTTCCGGAGACGGGCCCTAGCTCCCTCCTACCCCACCAGAAAGTGCCAAGTCAATAGCTTCCTTACCTGGGTGAAATGATTTCGATAGTAGTTCCTAATATCCGACGTCCTTGAAGTAACTGAAGGGACTTCGTGGTGGTCCAGAAACTTGGCAGGATTTAAAGATTACCCTGGATTAGAAACAAGCTAATGAACCCTTTCTTCACAGTAACAGACGACTTTTATTCTTCCTCTTCTCCAGATCCAGCCCACATTTCCCTTAACCGCCCACTTCCCCAAGGAAGCATAACCTACACAAATGGAAAACCAGACTTAGAACAAGATCAATTATAGAACAAGATCAATGCTGTGTGCATGTTAGATGCTTGGGGGATTTAAGATTATCATAAGAGATTATTTACAGCTTTAAAGTCAGTTTGCCTACTATCTAGCATATTCAGTAGCTTTGGAAACTAAAAATAGTTGTTTTTTTTTAAACTTTGGGCTATTTAAAATAGCCTTCTAGGGCGCCTGGGTGGCTCAGTTGGTTAAGCAACTGCCTTCGGCTCAGGTCATGATCCTGGAGTCCCGGGATCAAGTCCCACATCGGGCTCCCTCCTCAGCAGGGAGTCCGCTTCTCCCTCTGACCCTCTTCCCTCTCGTGCTCTCTCTCTCTCATTCTCTCTTTCAAATAAATAAATAAAATCTAAAAAAATAAAAAAATAAAATAGCCTTCTTTGCCCTAAAAATATTTCATAACTTTACCCCTAGAAAAACTTTAACTCTATTTTCTTTGTCAGACTTCTCCAGAAAGCAGAACTTTGAATGCATGCATATAAAATTTTTGTTTAAAAAAGACGAGTCCCGGCACCTGGGTGACTCAGTTAAGTGTTTGCTTTCAGCTCAGGTCGTGGTCCCAGGGTCCTGGCATCGAGCCCCACGTTGGGCTCCCTGCTTAATGGGGAGCCTGCTTCTCCTGCTCCCCTTGCTTGTGCTCACTCTCTCTTCTGTTAAATAAATAAATAAGTAAAATCTTTAAAATAAATAAGACGTGAGTCTAAAGTTGGTTTTCATCACTATGTGCCATGCTGGTAAACTATTGCGTAACAAATGTGTGCTGAATGTCTTTAAAAACGTATCAACCAGTTTGAGTACATTTCAAATCTGATGTGTATTATTTAACAGCTTTATTTAGCTCTTATCCACATAGCATACAATTTAAAGTATACAACTCAGTGATTTTTTAGTAATTAACAGAGTTATGTAATCACAACCAGTTTTTTAATTTTTATTTTTTTAAAGATTTTATTTCTTTGTCAGAGAAAGCACAAGCAGGGGGAGCAGCAGGCAGAAGGAGAATCAGGCTTCCCACTGAGCAGGGAGCCTGAGGTGGGACTCCATCCCAGGACCCTGAGACCATGACCTGAGCCAAAGGCAGACACTTAACTGACTGAGCCACCCAGATGTCCCAATTTTATTTATTTATTTAAGATTTTATTTATTTGAGAGAGCTCCAACAGGGGAGGGGGAGAGTGGGGAGGGACAAGCAGACTCCCCACTGAGCAGGAAGCCCAACTGGGGGCTCAGTCTCATAACCCAGAGATCATGACCCGAGCTGAAGTCAGATGCTCAACTGACAGCCACCCAGGTGCCCCAGCACAACCAATTTTAGAATATTTTCATTACTCCAAAAAGAAACCCCTTATCCATTAGTAATCACTTGTCATTTTCCTTCACCTGCCCCAGCCCTGGAAAAACCACTAGTCTACTGTCTTTAAATATTTGCCTGTTCTGGACATTTCTTATAAATGGAATCATACAATATATAGTCTTTTGTGACTGGCTTCTTTCACTTAGCATTATGTTTTCAAGATTTACCATGAAACTGTAGCATGTATCAGTACTTAATTGTTTTTATGGCCAAATAATATTCAATTTTATGGGTGTATCACTTTTATTTACCCATATTTGTCCAATGTTGATTGACATTGGATTGGGTTTTTTTTTTTAAAGATTTTATTTATGTATTTGACAGAGAGAGACGCAGCGAGAGAGTGAACACAAGCAAGGGGAGTGGGAGAGGGAGAAGCAGGCTTCCCACAGAGAAGGGAGCCCCATGCAGGGCTCGATCCCAGGACCCCCGGACCATGACCTGAGCCGAAGGCAGACGCTTAACGACTGAGCCACCCAGGTGCCCCTGGATTGGGTTTTTTCCCGGTTTGGGGCTATTATGAATCATGCTGCTGTGAATATTCATCAGTAAGTTTTTGTGTGGATGGATGTGTGTTTTTATTCCTCTTGGGTATATTCCTAGGAATGGAATTGCTGGGCCATATAATACTTCATGATTAACATTTTGAGGAACTGCCAAAAGGTTTTTGAAGGCAATTGCACCATTTCACATTAACACTAGCTAGTTCCAACTTATCCTCACCAACACTTTCTATTTTCTGGGGTTTTGTTTGTTTTTAATAATAGCTATCTTAATGGGTGTGAAGTGGTATCTCATGGTGGTTTTAGTTTGCATTTCTCTAATGACTAATGATGTTGTGCTTCTTTTCATGTGTTTACTGGCCATTTATATATTTTCTTTGAAGAAATATCTGTTCAAATCTGTCCATTTTTCAGTTGAGTTAT